CACCGCCAATTTCAAGCAAGTGTTGCTGAGACTTCTTCGAAGTTACTCTGGAGTTAGGTTGTATATGAGAATCATGAAGAAGATAGTTCTGTTAGCGACATTGATTTATTCAACAACATGATTCAGAGGCGAATTCAGAAATATTTAGATAAAAAGTATTTATTATATAATAAAGTTTTCATAGGTTTGTTTTAACACCGGTCTGTGTTACCTTACTAATGTAACTTTCTAATTAAAGAGAGCCACGGATTTGTCATTAAAGATTCGATAACAGGCCCTTAAAATTGCTAAGGTCGACTACAATTTACTTTATTTAATACATTTAAATCAAATTTAGATCGATCTTAATAATGTGACTTTAAAGGCCTACATGATAGCAACTAGGCCTATATAAAACATCATAATAATAATAATAATAATAATAATAATAATAATAATAATAATAATATTATTATTATTATTATTATTATTATTATTTAATATTATGATGTAAATAGGCATTTCATTATGGTGATTAATTATAAAAACAAAAACAAAAAAACATTGTTCTGTCTGTATCGTTTTAATTTCTTCATTTTCAAACAAATGTAATTTTGGTATTTTAAATGACCATTATGTACCACTGTTGTCTTCTAATCGGATTAAAATCTGGCCGAATTTTGACCGATATCGAAAAAAAAGGTTTGGCCGAATTTGGCCGTGGGATGGCATGAAGCCGCTTGAAGCCTGTCGATGTCTGAATTTGTTTAATAGCTCTATGGAATTTCTCGATGTCTCTGCGGCTTCTCATCTGTATTCGATTGGTAAATTTAGTGTGCATTAACTTGAGTGTACATTTTGAATTCATATTATACTTTGCAAAAATGACAAAAGTGCTATCTGTATTATATAATAGGTAAGTTCAATAAAAACATTATTATTATATTTGTAGCCAATTAGTTTCTGTCAGTTGGTTCCTGATAGACAGCACAGGCTATATCTTTGAAGTTATAATGCTACTTGAATAGCAACAGCAAGGCTTATTTCGAATACTCAAAAGACATTGTTTACACACCGGTGATCTTCATTGGCCAAGTTCAATACAAACACAAGCTAGGCCTACGTGTACAGTTGGGAGAGGGTGGGTATGTATATCGCTTGATCAACTTTGGCTAAAAATATGCGGTAAATTGTTATTATATGAAGTAAAAAACTTAACTCACTAGGCCCAGCCCCCGTCCCAGCCTATTTAGGCTTATCTGGTGGGTTGTTTCAGGCTTTTGGTTCTAAGCCTAGAGGTGGCCGGGCTAGCTAGCTAGACTAGGCTAGCCAGCTACTGACTGAGCTCCTTGGCCAGGGTGTAACGCGTAGATTCAGAGTTTTTGTGGGTAGGCTGTGGTCGAGTTCAGACAGGGATATGGTTGTCGTCATTGCATTGTATTTTATTTTATTATCAATTTTTACTATACTAAATATTATTCGTCTTTTTTGCCGTTATTTATCTTGCAAATATTTTGCTTCTGTGTATAGGCCTAATAATATTTTAAAACGTAGGACCCCAACGGAAACATAGCCTGCATAAGTTTTCTTTTTTACCTTTCTTGGGTTGTACTTAGATTAGTTAGTATGATGTCCTTGTTTTCCCTGTCATTGTACTCTTTGTATTTATTGATACTGAATAAAATCAATCAATCAGTCAGTCAATCAATCAACCAACATTTAAAGGGTACCTAGGACGGAGGTTAAATTGTGATCAGGATTATCAATGAAAATGAAATGAAATATTGAACTTTTAAAAAATGTCAACACAGAAAATTCATAAAATATGGAAATATGTTAACAAAATGATTTTTTTTTTTTTTTTTTTTTTTCATTTACCGATCTTTCTTGATTCTGTACTGAGATAGATAAAATCAACACCTTTTAAAGGCCAGAGCTTCTTGCCCACCCCTGTTGGCACTCCCAGCAGCAGTTGCCATTGTCTAATTTATTAATTGTTTCACATGGTTTCAGCTTTAGAAAATTTGTCTATATATATTTTTCCTTCTAGTTTAGCTAGACCGAATATAATAGAACGAATTTAGAAGCTGGCAGCACGATGACTGCAAGTTCAGATGAAGAGGAGTTGTTTGACGTTGGACTGACGTCTGATCATGCCTCTCTCATAAACCATCATGATGCAGAGAAGGATGATGATGATATTCTTAGTAGGCCTACACCAGTGGAAAGCAAAAAAGCATTAAAAACTGTGGTTTTATTCGCCTCATTTATATCTCTTGTAAGTTTTAATGTCAGAGTATTAATATTGTTTTTGTAGTATCTTGTGTCATCATTACTTAATAATAATAATAACAAATAAACCAATAAGTTGATATTGACTTAGGCAAGCTTTCGTCTTGTTGTTCGATCATTAATGTTTTGATACTTTATTTTATGATTATACTATTCTTTTTTGTTTTAACTTGAACCGTAAAACTTGGAGAATTCCATTCATTTGTCCCTCTTGTAACATCTTGGAAAAATCCTCCATTACATATGGGCAAAATTTGTGTTGATCAGCTAAAAAAAAAAATTATTTTTCTCGTTCTACATTTTGCCAATGATATTAACTTTCTGCGACCAAGCTGGATAAAACATTGCCAGTCTACTTGAGAACATGAACTGAGCGATTGCGAAGTGTAGTTTGAGTAAAATCATATGGGTGCTTTTTTAACATCAATCAACAGAAAATATAGTCTATAATATTTATTATGTTTAATATATTGAATGTCATTGACTTTAAAATCAACTGTAATTAGTTTGCCAATTTGTATTCATATTAAAGATGTATTGTCCCCTAAAAATAATCAATATTTATATAGCGCCTAATGCTAACTTCAAAGCGCTTAATAACAACCACCTCAAGGCACTTAACAGAACATATAATTGATTTTGCTTATATTATTTTTCTTAACAGGGCCTTGCAGTTGCCATTCTCGGGCCAACCATTCCGAACCTGATTCTGCAAGTTCGTACAGGTTACAGCCAGTTATCGTTCATATTTCTGACTCGTGGGTTTGGCTATATGGTCGGTGCTGTTGTTTCTGGATTTCTTATTGAACGTTGGAATCCATTCTGCATTCTTGGTTTTAGTTTAGCTTTATGTGCGGTGGCGATGTTGCTCATGCCTGCTGTTAAATCGTTGAGCATGCTTATCCTTCTGTTCATCCTCGCTGGATTTGCTATGGGAAGTATAGACACAGGTGTGTGGAGTAATTCATTAAGTGATTTTATCAATCAAAATTTTCATAAAACACTACCCTCCATGGAATGTCAATAGTTTCCAACAATAGATAATTTGGCCATTATGAACTTTAAGTGCTACAATAAGTTACATATAACAGACCACTGTTTTCCAGATCACCCTAACACATCTTTACCTTACGTATTGTTTTTTCTTTAATTACAATTATATTCAAAATGTTATTTTCTAGTATGATATTGTTATGACCAGATAAATAAACATTTAAAATCCTATTTTTTATGTTTTTATATTTTATTCAGGTGGAAATGTTCTGTGTATTAAGATATGGGGATCAAAATCTGCACCCTACATGCAGGCCTTGCATTTTAGTTTTGCGATTGGAGCATTAGTAGCACCCTTACTTGCAAAACCATTTATTAGTGTCCCATTTTCCGGAAATGATACTGCACTGGATTTTGTATGCCAGAAAATTGAAACATCGCATAGTTTGATCACGGAACAAGTTGTCTTGACTACTACATTATCTTCTGAAAACTTGCTGACTTCAACGCCACCAAAAGCTGTGACTGGAAACGAAATAACAAAAGCAACTACAATAATTCCTGCAAAAAGTACAGTTTCTTCAACTAAACTGTTTTCCACAACAGAACCGCTTGTAACATCAAAATCTAAAAGAGTTCTTACAACTAAACCGGTTACTACTACAAAACAGAAACTCACAACAGAACCAAAGACTACTACTGAACAGGTTCTTACAACAGCACCAGCTCTTACAACAGCACCAGCTCTTACAACAGCACCAGCTCTTACAACAGAACAGGTTACTACAACAGCACCACCTTTTACAACAGCACCAGTTACTACAACAGAACAGGTTACTACAACAGCACCAGTTACTACAACAGAACAGGTTACTACAACAGCACCAGTTACTACAAGAGAACAGGTTACTACAACAGCACCAGTTACTACAAGAGAACAGGTTCATACAACAGCACCAGTTACTACAAGAGAACAGGTTCATACAACAGCACCAGTTACTACAAGAGAACAGGTTCATACAACAGGAGAGGTTACTACTCCAGAAAAGATTCTTTCATCAGAACCAGCTCTTAAAACAGAACAGGTTAATACTTCAGAACATGGTCTTACAATAAAAAGGGATACTACTTTAGGACAATTTCCTTTTCAGAAGACAAATACCAATGAGAAGACTAAAGTAAATTCAACTACAGCTGTTGTTACACCTGCCAATATTGATAATTTAAGATCTTCAGCTCCATCTACATCTATAGCAAAACTGATCTCTACTACAGAAAATAAACCTGTTCAAAGCACCTTAAAAACAACAAAAGGAAAATCCCCAGCCAAAAGGAGACCTAAAAAGGCATCTAATGTAGAGGTGAAATTAACGGAACCACAACCATCAAACAATATGTCTGGTGAAAAGTTAAATAAACGAGATACAAGAGGGGTGGCAACTGGAATATCAACTGACAACACTGTTGAAGATGGCAGTAAATTATGGAACATTTATGGTATAATATTCTTTGTAATAACACTTAACAGTATTGCATTCTTTTATTTATCATGTAGAGGAGGTAATTATAAGCAATCACTTTATTCAGAAGTTAACAAGTCTTTAACTCATAAAAGTGATACCACAATAAGACTGCAGTTGCTCTCAATAATGTTTGTATTTTACTTTTTATATGTTGGGTCAGAGGTTGCATATGGAAGCTTTATTTTTTCATACGGCAAGTTTAGTGATTTGAAACTGAGCAAGGATCAGGCATCCTGGCTAAACTCCCTCTATTGGGGAATGTTTGCATTGTTTCGGGGAATTGCCATCATTCTGGCTAGCTGCACATCTCCACTGGTCATGCTCTTAGTTGACCTCATTGGTTGTGGGGGCGCTTCATTAATTCTTTTGATATTCAAGGGTAGTAATGCTCTAGCATTGTGGGTAGGAACTGCAGTCTTGGGAGCAAGCATGGCATCTCTTTTTCCAAGTGGATTATCATGGTTAGGACAATACATAAAGGTTACTGGTACTGCAGCATCAGTACTTGTCGTAGGTGCATCAGCAGGAGAGATGGCCATTCCCTTCGCTGTGGGCCACTTTTTTCCAGACTTCTGTCATTCCAATAATGAAGGTAAAAACATCCAGGTACTTATGTACACCATGTTTGCAGTTACCATATTTACATCCATAATCTTTTTGTTAGCATATAGATTAGCAAAGAAAAGAGGAGCTCGTTACAAAGACCACCATCTGGTGCCAGAATCATCCATGATGTTAGAGCTACAGTCCACCGATTAATAAGTTCAGTTTAGACATACGGCATAATTTTTGTACGGCATAACTAATTATCATTAACAAAAAATGTTTGCCAAGCTATACAAATCACGTTTGCATTAAAAACATTCTTTTAACATTTGCTATAAACTGGTGGCACTTCTGTATGCTTCATGCAACAGTTTGATATTTGTCTAATGGATAGAACCACCCACACCCCCCCCCCCAAAAGCTTTTTCCCTGAAATGTGTATCTTCTATAAAGCAGCCACTACTTTGTTATACTGATGCTCGTTTTAGTAAAGAGTGTGATGACATGGAGATGAATTTCAATATTGAATCAGTGAGTGTGATATATTGTGCTAATAACTGTATATAAATAACTATAAAATTCATGTTTTTTTTATGCTAGAACTTGCAAATGTTATAGTAGGCCAACTTTTGATTATTGGTGAATATTTATAATTTGATAATCCAAAACTAATATAAGGAGTTTTAATTATGGTAGTGGCAAATATGCCAATCAGATCTATTTATAAAGTAATTCTGTTCAACATAAAGTAATAGTAAGCATTATTTAGATGAGATTTGTAAACTAAGCAGACTAAATATCTACATTGGTAGATAAAAAAATATTTTTACTGTGAAGATTTGTGTGTACTTGTAAGAGAATCAACAGATTTCATGTTCATTACATTTTTTTAAATTATAATCAAAGTCGTAGATTAGTAGAGTGCAAACTAAACTAAACTATATAATAAAAGTATGTATGTAGTGACTAACCACCAATTTTAGTTGTTCATAAAGGGGTAATTACAGTGTGTAAGTCTAATTTTATGGGATAATTGAAAGCTAAACCGTTTTGATATTAAGCATGTACACATTTTGTGGTTTGACATAATACCGCCATGTTATTTATAAAAACTGTTTGATTCGTCAGTGCTGCACTAATTATTCAAGAGCTCTTTTTACAAATTGTTGTTAAAATGGTAGTACCATTAGTTATTGGTTAAAAAGTATATACCTATCTGCCTTGTGGCAACATTTGTAGGTCTGTTATTATTGATTTTCAACTAGAGTTGTGGCATTTATAGAAAATAGAATATATCTGTTGCATTGGTTAGACAAGAGCGATGCATTTGTAAAGGGCACGTAGTGTTATTTACAGTAGGCCCTGCCCCTTGGATATCGTTGCTAAGGTCCTACAAAACAATAGTCGTAAGTGTACGTAAAATACGTGCTTGTAGGGCGTGTATTTTTGGCCTTGTTCTCAAGTTTAACGCTCCAGAAATTGTAAAATGTGTCAATGTTTACAATTAGCAAAGATTGTATCCCCACTCCCTGTGATAAGTTGCAATTCTTTATACACTTTTTAAAAACATGCCACGCAAGTAAAAACTTCAGTAACCGTCGCTCTTTCTGAGGTAGAGCCTACTGCAACACTTACCAGATATATTCCATTTTGCATAATTACTAAGAAACTTGCACAATGCCGGTCCATTCATACATCTATAGCTGTTGAAAATGTAAACATTCTGATTGCATCCCTTACAGTGATACTTATCTTAGGGACATTCCCACATGTTCTTCTCGTAGTTCACATTGACTTAGCGGTGCTCATGCCAACCCTCCCCCTCCCATCCCAGAAAAAGCTGCACCCCTGTTACAATCTTAATTTTGAATAATTTGATGATATAATATTTGTCCCGATCATAATCAAACCTCAATGCCAACTTGCTGCAGTCGCCTTCTTGCATGCTCAGAGAATTGAAAATTGCTGGTAATCCTTTTATATACAATATAAAAGTTGTTTTTTTTACCTCAATGCCACCTTGTATAATGATGCATATTGTAGTCCAATATTACTACTTCCAGAGTTTTATATACTTAAAAATAAGGCCTAGATTAGTTACCGAAAAAAACAGATTTTGATATATTACCAATTATATAATTAAGAAACTTGTCTATTTTTTAAAGCATGGTATACAAAAGAAATGATGACTAAGATATTTTCTGCAATTTGTCTGCTGTCCCACCAATCAGTTTATCAACTATAGTGTATTAGTGTTTGAACTGTTTTCAGTATGCGTATGAAATACACGCCCACTCAATTAATACTCTCTTCAAAAGGGGAATGATCTTTTTTCTGTTGATACTTAAAACAAGATAGGATGTATTTTTGTATTGCGATTTATTTGTACAGTTTATCATTAAGGTTTTTTTGTAATTACCGTACCAGTACATAAATTGTTTTTTAATTACTTTCCTTTTATTTTTGAAATGTGTAAATTGACATAGATGAAAATCCTATAATATATTTTTTATGAATCCAAAATTAATATTTTTATTTAAAATCTAATAAAATGAAAACAGTGTACTGTTTACAAACAATATATTTAAGAATTAAAAGCTGTTTTATTACACTGACACATTGGGAAAATTGTTTAAAATAATATCTTTTGGTAGTAATCTTGAAACTATTTTAATATCTCAAAGCTAATAATAGTAAATACAGCTGACATTAAGGTGCTTTAGTCGATGGCTTGTTTAACCTTGATGTACTTTTATATTTGATTCTTTTATTTTTATTGAATGGTTCCCACGAAATGTTATATCATACGGTACAGTATACTTAACAGGCATATTGAATGAATAAATAGCTAGTAGAATAGTAGTTGCTTCTTAGCAGTTTTATTTTAAGGATCATCAATCCAGCATCAAAAAATAACAATAATTAAAGTCTTTTTACACAATAAAAGAGATTCTTTTTATTGATTTTTATACAAAATTGTAAATTTCCAATTTTGATTTTGAATATTACATTGACATCAACCAGTTTAACAAAAATAGAACCATACATGATTACTGTAATAAATATACATGCACTATGCTTCCAAATGTGACAAACTACCTCGGTATCAGTGAAAACCTGGAATACTGAGGGAACGTATTTAGCAGCTCGCATCACCTCATGCAGTGGTAACACAGGCTGAAGATAGTTTAGTCGGTCCGGTTTTAGATGTGCCCACATATCATTAAATATGAGACAATCACATTAACTTCTAAATATTTACACTCACTTCAATTATTAAGTACAGTTTATCAAAAACTCAAAACTACTTGCAGCACGTTCTATCAGAAGCAAGACACCTAGAACGTTGATGAGGATTCTGTTTTACCCATCCTCAAATATTTTGCATATTTTTAAACCATGCAAGTCCACTCCAGAACATTCTGGCAAACCACCGTTGGCACCATGTCAGCTGCGGCTGCCGAAGGGTAAAGTCAGGCAAGTCCACTCCTCTGTCAAAGTATAGAATAAATGGTCAAGTAAAACTTTCTAAATATAGTTCGTGTTTGGAAAGAACAATAAATCTGATCCGTAATAGTTGCATAGGTTGTTTCTTTTTCTTAAATAATTCATGAATCATGAATGCAGGTGATCACTCACACTTCCTCTTTAACCTTACAACACACTCCTCATATTTGTAATGTTTCATCAGCATATTCCTGCTTCAGTTCATTTACGGTATCATGAACGCTGATACACAGGAACTCCCCCATAGGAACTGGTTCCCATCTGTTTTTGTGTTGCCATGGCAATCTTATCTTGGGAGATCCTACGTGCTTTGTCTTGGTACTGTTTCAATTTGTCATCCAACAAATGGTAAGCCTAAATGAAAAAAAAAAAAAAAAAATGAAATGTAGAAGTATAAACTGTAATTATTTTGAAAGGTTTTGCCGTGCATAGCTATAGGCATATGTACATCTTGTTTTGCTAGGTGTAGGCAGACATTTAGTTCTTGTTATACTGTTCACTAACTTTGAGGACAGGTAAACCAAACAGTAGCTGGAAGGATTTTGTTAATAATTCTGCATGATTTGTTTATGTTTAACAAGCCAAAGACAAACATTGCAATATATTAGAATATTTGTATGCAAGTACAGTAAAGACTATTTTTGATTTCTAGTATGCATTGTAAGACCATAATGTTTTTCAATTTAGAAGTTTTTATGTTTCTGTTGTTAAGCTGATATTTAATTTTGCATTGAATTAAAAAAAATATATATACATTAGGTTGGAATGGGTGTGAATTAAGCAGTAAACCAGGAGGCAAAATGTACTACTACAATTGTGATGTGCAACGTCCAAGTTTAGGTATTCCCGCTAGAAACAGAAAATAAATAACAGTTCTACATGTTAAGGATGAACCCACATTCATCCAGTTGAAATGTAAACATCCTGGACACATGTATTATAAACATGAGGATGAAAGATTTAAAACTTCTTTCCTATGTGATCCTTCTGGTTGTGAATTGGGCAGTACACACTTTCTTAAATTTGCACATGGGTCACATTGCACACAGCCGTTTCATAGCGACATAAATTGATGCGCCCTCTATTGCGTAAATGCGCAGAATTGGTATGCGTGTGTGTTAAAATACAAATCCGGAAGTAAACAATTCGTCACTCTTTGCTTACAACTAATAAATCCTCTATCCTTTGCCGACCAATTAGAAGGCAAGAACAACTTTACATCATGAATAAACATGAGGCAGGTCACCCACGTTGTTGTTTTTCATAATATCGTGTGGCACATTCAGTGATCGAAAGAAAATCCGAATCTGTAAGTGTTTGAAATTGCATCTTTTTTAAAATACAAAATATGGTCTTTTTGAAGCATAACATAGTATCGATAATTAAATTGATTACCGACAATTGTCATAATTTTTCAGAGTTAAAGTAGGGGTGTTTTGAAATGCCTAGTGTGTCTACTTTCATCTACAGGCTGTTTTGTTAGGACATAAAACCTAGTTTTGCATTTACATGAATGTTCATATTTCAGATTTCTTTTATTTTCCACAAATAACATAAAAATATGAAATATATGTGGAGGAGTCTATAATAAAATCATGTGCTGCGCAGAGCACAGATCTTTAGACTAATAGCCCCCTTAACAAAAAGCATAATAATAATAATAATAATAATAATAATAATAATAATAACAAATTAATAAAATAAAAAATAATAATAATAAATAATAAATAATAATAATAATAATAATAATAATTATTATTATTATTATTATTTGTTAAGGAGGCCTGGGTGTAAGTTTGATATTAGGCCTAGCATTATGTCATGTGTTATGGACTATCCTAAAGAACTTTATGAAGTAGCTGCATGGAACGTGCGCGCTTCCTATTGTAATAAAAAGCATGTTCTAAACACTTAATGTCGCGATTATGTATGCAATCAAAACAGCTGTGAGGAACAAACCACCCACAAAAGGTTAGAAAGGATTCAGTGGACACAAAATGACTATTACCAGATAACCTCCTGAACACTGCTGATCTCTTATATATAGATGAATGCCAACATGTGACTGACAAACTAAAGTGTTCATCTCTGTAACACTGATTGCCCTTCCATATCACTAATCATCATGACTTACTTTGTATGAGTTGTATAACCAGTTAGGAATGTGGTAACCCAAGGAAAGTAACTTATGCACAACCCAACGATAGTGCCTATGGTCACCGACTTGATCAAACTTCTCCAGGTAGGCGCGTAGCATCCTCCACGCTAAATCTGCCGGGCTGTGCAAGTAATAATAACAACAACAGTCAGTCTGATGTACAACTCATGACTACCATATTATCAGTTATTAATGTCAAATGAAATTAATCTATATACTATAAGTCACCAGTTACATCAACATTTAATCTCCAATAAATATTTTCATACACTGATTTACATGTAATGCATGGTTTGTTTGACCTTTGTTCATCCAACCCCATATGCCTAAGCTTACCTGAGATCCTTGGCAGCCTGTAGATTAGATACGTCATTTGCTGACAGCCACTCCCAAGAGTAAGGTTCCACTTCACCACTTAGACTAAGTCTTACACACCTTATATAAAAAACAATCAGTGAAGGTACCATTCTCAAAATGTTTCTAAATAGTAATAGCGAGTGCAAACAGTGTAAATTTTGCTACAAATATGAGCATGTTGTGGCAAAATGGCTACGCTGTTGCAAAAATTGAAATTCAAGTTATTGGTATTTTCAGATACCTTAGTATGTAATCTTTAAAATGAGGTGTCATTCATTAAAATTGGACATTCCAAGCCCTAGTTATTGAAAAGTGAAAGTACAGCACTCTTAGAGTCAATATGAACATGATTTTGAGTAATTGCCTTCCAAAGTTATTTGTGCATACATTGTTTAATAGAATTAACTATCAAAATAATCGTAAGTAAACAATTTGTTGACCATTTGCAGAACTAATACATTGGGACATGATTAATAAGACATTAAACTGTTTATCTGTAGTAAAAAACAAAAAAGGATTTTTAGGAAATTTTTTTTCACAGTACTGGCCTGTGCGACAATTTAACCATTTCGCAACGACATGCCTCATATAATAATAATATGTGTGATTCACCCATATACTGTATAGGCATAATGATGTCATATTACACCCATATATGGGCATGATGTCATATTACATCCATATATGGAGACATGATGTCATATTACAACCATAGATGAGCATGATGATGTCATATCACACCCATATATGCACAATATTGTGTGGACCAAGTGTTATACATATCAGATATTGCAGTACCTCAATGTCAGACCTTCTAGAACACTCTGCAGAGAGAGTTTAAATGTTTGACAAATAGTAACAGCAACGTCAAACAAACCGACAGATATTAACAGCGATACGGTTTCATGTGGAGATAATGTTGGACCTGCAAATAAAATCAAAAACACAATCCCATATTAATGATTTTCCCCTTTTATTTTTCCCATACTACATTTGCTGTTTGCTTCCTCAATCGTGATTAACAATATTGAATTTGATAATTCTTTTGACATGTATTCTTGCAATATTCTCTTGAATGCCCCGTCACCTCTCTAGATTACCTATCAAGCCCAATTGTAAGAATACTATACAATACAATATAATATTCCTTACTTGCAATTTTGTCAATTTAAGTCACCATAATACCATATTTGTAGCTCTGTACATTACATACAATGCCCTAATTTAAGCTACATCACCATACCTTGTAGTCCCCTATATTACAAATCATGCAAATTGTAAACATTGATCATGGTCTGTTGTTAAGCACTTTATATCACCCAGTATGCCCTGCTAAAAACTATACAGTATTTGGTAGTGCACTTTACCTGTGGCATTTGAAGGGTCAGATGACTGCTTAATGTACTGCAGTCTAGCTGTAACCAGCAAGTACTCCTTCTCAATCTGATCCAACTCAATCACTTCCACCTTCCGTTTACCTTTAAAAACAAAACCAATAAATTACCATGATAATTAAAGGGGAAAAAATTACAAGAAAAGAAAAGTGATCATAGTAAGCAAAAATGGGAGAATGTAACAAAAGGAAGGAGGATCAAACAAAAAGCCTAAATTGTTTTTCTAACTCATCCCCCAAAAGCATAACATATAATGAAATATTATTAATAATAATAATACTATTGCTTTACTATAGTAACAACAACAAGTATAATTAGTAAAAGCTTCAATTAATTTAATAAAAAAAACATGTCACTCCATTTATTGTATGCATCTTTTGCACTTTTATTTGAACAATATATTGCATAACAGAAAACATCAGATTTCTAAAGATAGCATTCAAATAGTACCTTGTATCTCTTTATCTTCACCATCGCAACTTCGTTTTGGAGATGCACCAGTCATATCTTCACGATTTGGTTGAATGCACACCGGTTTGACTATCCATGCGTAGTCTGGATCTACTAACCTCAGAGAATTCATTGCTGCTAGGTAGCATTTGGCCTGTTGCTGCAGCGCCCTCTCGCCAATTACCTCCTGGCCTAAACGCATACCATATTCATACATGGTACTACCAGCTACAAGGAGTCATTCATATTGTAAAAATGAAGATAACAACAAATACTTTGAATGTCTGTAGTGAACCTGTTTAACATGCATAATCATAGTTAAAATGTAAACATACAATGCTCATGACTGCTGCTGATTGGCTATGATGCAGGCTGTAGCTTCACTAGATACAATGAACAGGGGTGGTAACACTGCAAGCACTTTCATATTTTCTCTAAAGCATTATGGGCAAATATAAATAATTAGCATTAGACCCAACTGATCTAGAGTAACACATATTCAGACTTCAAAAATAAATACAGGCTTAATTAAAATCATGATGACATGAGGGTTGGTATTGTATGCATATAATAGAGTTTTTTTTTAAATTAAATAAATACATTTCTTACCTTTGCGATAATTTCCTCGAAATGTGTGAAAAGCGTACAAGAAATCATAGTAATTATGCGTCTTGAGATCGACAGAGCGTGCTCTGGATTCTATGATACTCACAACCTGTAGAGGACATGAAACACCGTTCTTTAACCAAATGAACAAAGAAATAGTGGAAGTATTTAAAAAGTTGCATTTCATTTCAATCATCAATATTTATCATCATCCATCACCTTCAATACTGTATCATGAATAAGCATAATGGTACTTACCTCATCATGAAGATCAATATAAGGGAATTTACAGAGCTGTTTGATTTGACCAGTTTCACACAACACTACAACAAACTGACGTAGACAATCATTTCGCCTGTTAAAACCAACAAAAAAAAACATATCATACAATATGCCTCTACCTTTCTAATTTTACAAATTGTTAGATGTTATTATGTAGCTCAGGCCAGTAACTAAGGGGTTTATGATTAAATTCGTTTTAGCACACGACATTTGACAGAGAATCCTCCCTACTTCTCACATATAATTTCCAATCCTCATATTGGTGACTTAAATCAGTGACAAATAATTTTCGTCTCGCATTACCTTTCTGGATCGGGGTTAGCTGTCATCGCAGCATAGGCCTGTTCATTATTTCCTAGTTCTAGATGATGTTTAAACACTTTACACCACAAGATAGGCTGGAAAAACAACAGAGAACAAAATAAATGACTAACATCTCATCTATTTCTGTATTTACTGCAGTAGAAATGCAAACTGTTTATAATTAACATTAAAAATGTGAATAAAATTTGAAATATATTTTAAAGCAAAAGAGACCACATTGTTGTCTGTGTAAATTGTAGACATACAAACTGTGTATAAACAACATTAAAATGTGAATAAAAGTTGAAACATACAAAAGAGATCATATCACTAAAACACTTATTTTTTCAACACTTACTATATTTGTATCATCTTCATCCCCAACACTCAAAGCAGTATTAGCTAATAATATCACAAGGTCTGGGTATGAGAACTGTTCAAACAGACGAATCACCTACATCAAATAAAATATATTATATAAGTAAAACAAAAACGTAATAATATTTATACAATTGTATTCTTGTCAAACAATATTCACACCAAATTATGGAATCAACTTTGATGTTTCAATTGTTTTTTTTATATTGACTGTGTAAATCCTTGTTAAATAAATATTAATTAAAATAAATATAAAATTGACAAAAGTATAAAAATGAATAATAAGTGAAGTGTTTCTAACTAGGCTCATTAAGTGGTGGAGGGATTGACCATATGATTTAAGGACTTCAAGCAAGCTCTGCACCACCATGCAATAAGCCCAAGTAAGATCACTGACCTTCAAGTAATAGAGCGTGTCCAAATGTTGACCGTCCATCTGCTCCGTCATCAGTAACTTGTGCAACATGAAATTCTCGTCGGTGATTCGGTGAGCGCCCTGTAGGAAGCAGTCGAGAGCCTTATATGGTTCGGCGGAATTCAGATAGCACTGACCTTGGATGAACTTGCGTGACGATACGTTCCATTTACACCATGGAGTCAGCAAACGAAGGAATTGCTGAGATACAAAATATTTACATTTACGTCATGTTATTGCACTTAAAAAATGAGAAATATTCAAATATTAGTCTAATTATCCATCATGTGCATGATTCACCCAATTAACCACACATTTGGATAATTTGACCAAAACATATAATACTCATAATGTTTGCACTGCATTTTTGTAGTCAAACAGATTAGGTACATGGTTAGGTTGACCAAAATAAAACATTCAAACGAGGATGTTATGCTACAGTGGTATATAAACGAGGATGTTATGCTACAGTGGTTTATAAATGAGGATGTTATGCTACAGTGGTATATAAACGAGGATGTTATGCTACAGTGGTTTATAAATGAGGACGTTATGCTACAGTGGTTTATAAATGAGGATGTTATGCTACAGTGGTATATAAATGAGGATGTTATGCTACAGTGGTTTATAAATGAGGATGTTATGCTACAGTGGTATATAAATGAGGATGTTATGCTACAGTGGTATATAAATGAGGATGTTATGCTACAGTGGCATATAAATGAGGATGTTATGCTACAGTGGTATATAGGATGCTCGCCTTCCAATCCCAGGATCCTAGATCTAAGTGCTGTAAAACACCAGGATACATGTTCAGGGGTGGCACAGGATTTGCCCGACCGGGGTACGCCTCACCAATGAGAGTGCAAGTGGGTGTGGTCAGAAAGTTTCTCGGAAACTATGATAATCTATGGTTTTTGTAGACATATTTAATCAATTTTAGAGTCTACTAATATGAATGGGTGACAGCTCTTCTCGACTGGCTCCACCCCCACCCCCCACCCACTCATGTCACCCCACTGGTGCCACCCCCAAAATATTTTTACAATTAACATCTACACAAGATGCATAACAGTATCCATTATTATATTATACATTTAAAATACCAATCAAATGTTCTCCCTATCAAATTTTAATACTTGCCAGTTTCTTCCATCATGGAATTTTCCAGATTGTCATCAGTGAGATCAACGAAATTAAGGATCAGTTTAAATGCATGGATTGGTTCAACAAAATTCAAAATTGCTTGAGATACTTGATTTGTGATTGCCGATTGGCTGGCCCCTTGCTGTTCACTGTAAACAAATAGAATCAAGAACAATTTACAATGAAAATAAAACCAACAAATGATGATATATTGTTGAATGGACCTTTCTTTCCAGAGTGCCAATCAAACTTAACAACTGACCAATCAGAATAGTACCAGGAATACGTGCGTGTCCTACAAACGTATTTGTAGGACCCTCTACAAATATGGTTAAAAAAAAAAGTCTCATTTTCATCACTAAATTATCACAAGCACTTTAAGATAAGTTTAAGAACAAACCTTATTCCCACTAGGATACTATCAGCTATCTGTTCCACAAGAATATCAGCCTGTTCCTGATGAAAAAGATTGTGCTCAAAGGATGAAGTATCCTGGCTACTCAGATGCTGCTGAATAAGCTGTAGAATTGTTGATATTGTAACAAGGTCTTGAGCGAGGGCAGGCTCTATTGATAGGAAAATGAGGATTAAAGGTAGAAACAATCTTTGATTTCACTTTATTCTTCTAAGATTCAAGTGTCACTAAGATGACAAGGTGGAGCCCAAGAAACAAAACTACAAGCCTTAATTTACTAAAATTATTTCGCCTGACTTACAAAAACAGTTAGAGAGTAGCAGAATCGAGTATTGAAATTGTATAGAAAAAAGAGAGGACCAAAGAATGAGACATTGTATACATAATTATCTAATAGTGAGGCTGTTGAGAAACTTATATGGCCCATGTACCTTCAAACATGTTACTGATTTAAGGTGGTAGTGATGATCAAAAATAAAACTGCATACATATAAATTGTAAAATAAATATAAATTGTCAATTCTTCAGTAGGGAATTTGACACTGACCAGAATATAATAACACTTATATGAAATATTTTTAATTACCTTCTTGGTTTTCGATAAAAGCTTCAAGCTTTAGCAGAGAACATTCCTTGGGGTTGAAGCAGACTTCTTCCAGTATATCACAAGTTCTTAGAACAGATATAATATTCTGGGAAATTGCAAATAAATCACAAGTATTGTATTGCATAAAAAGCTAATATGAATAAACTATTAATTGTAAAATATACTGATATGTGACAATTTGATCTGTTAACAAAGAATGTCTTAGTAGTTGTTGATACCGCGTGTCACTCACCAGTTGTCCCACAACTGGTGAGTTGGTCGCATATACACCTAGGGAACTATATGCTTTCCATAGTGAAAAGGTGTAAGATGAACAATCCTTAATAGGACACTATGTTTACACATATTTTAAAACAACCTGGACTTACCTAAGGATCTACAAATTTAAGTTACTTGTTACTAGGTTGGGAGTGATAATCACATACCTTTTTGACCAACACTGGCATCTGTGTATTTATATCTACAAATATTCCAACCGGCTTATTGGCAACCTGTAAAGAATAAATAATAACAATAAAAATTACCCAGCACTTATAATGAACCATCTATACAGATATATTCAATTAAAATATTGAATTTCAATGAATTTCAATGTTATTTATAATTAACTCCACACAAATTGTATACAACTTATCTTTAATCTCTTACTACACTATTAAACTTTATGTGATACACACCTCATTTGCCCATATATGTTTATGAATGATATCACCATGTCCATACATGGATATGATATGACATCATCATGGCTAATAATCATTATCTATTTTATCATCTGCTAGCAACAAACCTCATGGTACTGATAACAACAAACCTCATGGTACTGATAACAACAAACCTCATGGTACTGATAACAACAAACCTCATGGTACTGATAACAACAAATCTCATGGTACTGATAACAACAAACCTCATGGTACTGATAACAACATGTGTAGAATTTTGACCAGCTTTGCTGTTGTACTTCACAGTACTCTTGCATGTCCATCTCACCACCACCAAACCGATGCTTGATCTCGTTCTCAATCGCATCTATCACTTCCTTTCTCAGCATGCTTGGATTCAAGTTTGAGTCTGTGATGTTACGACCATCTACGGAACGCTGACAAATCTGACGGATTAAAAGCCCAGAAATGACAACTTAGATGGCATTGTGAAAAATTTGTGTACAAAGTGGTATACACAAACTTGATTTCCCATTTGGACACAATTTTCTTAAGGTATTGCTTAATATACAAGTTATTGTTATATCATAATTTTAAATAAATAAATATATATATAACTATAAATTAATGTGTGGAAATGATTAAACAACTTACATTTAGAGCTCTGGCAATTGCTTGTAAACAGAATCTTCCAGAATCAAAGATTTCTTGTAGGTACACCTCCTGAGAATAATGAAAACAGATGTGATAAATTAATGAACGTAAATTACCAGTAATATAATACAAAATGAAACAAAAAACAAATAAATAAAATAAAGATTTTTATAAATAAATAATAGTAAATAACAATCCACAAATAACACTAAAAATATGTACATTTATCGAAACGAAAATAGTTTACATCAGACAAATCCAACACCACCACATTTTTTTGTTTAATGACAAAATGTATATAAAGCTTACTTTTATAAAAATGAGAATAACTTACCCGGGACTCTAAGAATGGCTGGAACAATACATCTGCCATTGGGTTTACAGCTAAGTTTATAGTCTTCCATCCACACACACTGTCAAAATATAGTTTGGTTTAAATATATTGCAAGGTGATAAACTTTGGTAGGCCAGCATCTTACATCCTACAATTTCACAGCTACCTTTCCACCTGTGCTCCATGGAGATTATTTTACAAGAAAATTCAGCATTGACCGAATATATTTAACATAATGTATAACATTAAAATCTATATACATTTTGATGAAAACATAGAAAAGTATCCTTGCCCACAAAGGACACAAGCGATTGGACTGTGAGAAAAATGAAGACATCATCATTCCCACATATGGGCAACACTCATACTTTTCACACTAAACATGAAAATAACAGGCTGCCATACCCTCCAAGGTCAGTGTACTTGGCAGTAGTCTCTCCTCCAGATGTCCATACTGTCCAGACCTGATGTTCAGCAAGGCAAAAGTCCACCAAAGCATCTTTGGGAGAGTACAAAGAGGCTAGCTTCTTCAACTGGTACTTGCCATTATGTTGCATAAACTTTACAATCAAAAACTAAAAGGAAGAAAATTTAATCTTTATTCTACAACAACAAACAATATAAACGTAGCCATGAATGTTATAATGCTTATTACATTACATGCTGTCTTGTTTACTATCATTACTACTATCTCCCTATTCCCCACATCACCCCCTCCACCCATTCTTATCAGCAAATAATCAAAATCATCAAATTATCAGCTGCAGCAATAATACACCATCACAATCAGAACAACATAAAATGTTTTACCTGACATCGATCTGGAAATTCTAAGTAGACTCCAAGCACCAGGTTCTTTTTATCACTTCCATATGCTTTCTTTATAATATGTCTGGTTGCTACAGTATCATGAATATTACTTTTGTCTGGAATAAAGTCTAGCAAACTGGTTGACAAGGTACACTCTTGATTCTGGAAACAAAACATATCAGACAAGCGTTAAGTGCAGTCTAGTCCGCCAAAGTCGACTCTGTTTAAGTCCAAAAAATTCGCGTCAGTCGAATTTTTGAAAAAGTCCCAATTCTTTCCTATGTATTACTGTGTAAATTGTTTGTTTAATTCGAATTTTTATAAGTCGAATTTCGGCTATATCGACGAAATTTTCCGGTCCGGATAGGCCGATTTTAAAGTAATTTCAACCACACAAGTCGAAGTTCCAAATTTTTTAGCGCACATGGGAAAATACACAGCCGTGGGAAAATACAAAGTTCAATCCTTGCTGTACGGCACCAAGTTAGCCAAGTCAAAACTAACATCTCAGACAGCGCGATGTGGAACTTGGCTCACATGATCGTATGTCATAAGTGGCAGTCTACTCTCACACTACAGACACCCCTCCGGACCGGCTCCAATGTTCAGTTTCGGAATAGGGAGTTTTCAGGAAAGTATTTTATTAAAAGACGAATAGGAATGATTTTGGAACGTTTGGTTTTGCGTGAAATTCGATTTTGTGGGCAATGAGTACACATAGTATTGTTCTATGTTAATATATTTTTTTTTTTCCCGAAAATTTGCAAGTCAAAATCTGTATAACTCGATCTTTTTATGCCAGTCCCATTAGATTCCACTTAGGCGGAGTCGACTGTACTACAAAAAATTACTGGATAACCACCTTAGCCTCCTGAAAAAGATATTGGGGAGGGGGAAGTCTCGCAGTTTGTATTTTATTGGTTATTCGTATGTTATCACATATTGGTAGGAATACGTACCTTGCATGACCAAACTCGAAGGAAGTGATCTTTACATACACAGATGATGAATGTGTCTTGGACTAAGTTGTGCATACAAACACTTAAGGCAGCATCAGTAGATTCTTGACCCCCTCTGAACACTGATGGGACGAGCCCACTCCATAGCCTAGACATCCCAAGGGGCTGGCTCAGTTCCCTCTGTGTTACAATACCTGCAACAGAAAGGAAAATTGGATTTCAAGATCATTTTTTATATATATACAATTTCATGATTACAGTAATTATGAAAATATTTCTTACTACATAAATTCTGTTGCAAGGTGGACTGTTGAATTGATATAATAATTGGACCACTCAAACAACTAAAAACAATAAATAAATAACGACAATGTGAAAGCATATGCACACGTGCGTTTGTTTGGACATGTGTGTTTGTAGGACACACACATATTCCTGGTATTGCTCTGAATGGTCAGTTGTTCTGATTGGTCTGCTGATTGGTCAGCTGATTAATCAGACCCTGTTAATTGGTCATTATTAACAGTTGTTTTGTTGATCAAGATTAAATACAGTTATTTCTGAAGTACTTACCACCTAAACCAATAGCTGGCAGCCTCACAAGAGTAATTGAGCCTTTACTTGTTGCCATGGCAAAGAGGGCTTCACCGTCATTGGTTAGACAGGATGAGCTGGAATGTATTTCATGGTGATGGGTTGTGGATTGGTCAAGTGTGTACATGTTTGCTGGTTCCTGGAGGCTAGCAACAGAGATGTCCGCAAAAATGGAAGACACAGTACAATCTGCTGAATATTGCTCCTATCAATGGATATATATAATAAAATTTACCAGTTTTTAATTGGTTCAAGACATTAGAAGCAATTTCCTTTCAATGATTTACAGACTTTCTGCTACAAATCCTTAAAGTGATCATCATCCAATTTAAGGATATATATGCAAAGAATATACAAATGGTATTTTATTTATATATAACTGTTAAATCATTTTTTCATTCTTATGTTGAATTAAATGAGCTAATTTTTTTCAAGATTGCTTTTTAGATTTTGTTGGTGACAGTATAACAATAATAATATAGGGAATTATACTGTGCCTTTTGCCAAGGGATAGAAAAACACTGGCAATGTTATTATGTATTACCCCTGGCCTTTGGATCCATAATTAGCAAATCGCTCCCACAAGGTATATCTGTAAAATGATGCCCTTCGACATGTAGTAATAGATTATTCTCTTACCATTCTCTGCATTCTAGTTGGATGCGGAAATATTAGTCGTAGGACACTATTCACCGTGGTGACCAGGATAATAACATTAGCATGTGTCTCATGGATTGTAACTGTCGGAAAGATGACTGCATCTTGTAAGTGGATTCTAACAGTGTTACCGCAGAGGTTGCCATCCAGCGAGTCTTCAACAAGTTCCAAAGTGTCTTTACTTGAACGCCTGAAAGAACACAATATATTCCGTCATCTTTTAACTCACCCCAAATGAATATTAAACAATCTTTTAACCTCTAAAAGCACAAAATATTTAGGGGTCATCCATAATTATCAACATTTTCAAAAGAGTACAAAACATACGCTTTAGGGTGGGAGGGATTGAAAGTGTAGGCATAAGTACTATTTTATGAAAAACATAAAATGTTGATCTCAAAATGACACAAATCAACATTTTATTGTGTACACTTTCGGGGGAGGGAGGGGGTAACAGAAAAGAGTATGTTTTGTACTCTTATCAAAATGTTGACAATTATGGATGACCCCTAATATCAATTCTGTAATTTATTCTATTGCATCTCTGTGATTCAGATTTGTCCTATGCTTGTATTTTGTCTCCTTTATTTCATATAATAAATTTTCATGTTTTATTGAATGAATGCAATTTCAATACAAAATATACATTTAAGTCTACTTCATTTCATGGTGGATCTTCATCATGCTCTGAACTGTCCTGATCTTAAGTGCACAGCTTACCAGTAGATGAACCTGTTTCTTGTGGAAGAATCAACATGATCACTATGACGATAAGAGAAGCCTCCAGCACCATTAGGTACCTGGACATCTTGCAATGTATTCTGACCATCACCTGAAAGGATAGAGCTATTTCTCAGTATTTTGTACTTACATCAAACTGATTATGTATTTTATATTTTTTTTGAAAATATTAGCACTAAGATAATTTTGTTGATTAATTTTAAAACTAAAAATCAATTAATGGAACTTATAATGTACTGATACCAAAAATTATTGAATTCAGATGATAAAAATTATCCACATGTTTTAAACCAACATAAGATATGATTTGATATGATAAATAATAATATACGATACATGAAATATGATACATAATGTATGATTTTTTGGTAGATGATATGATATTGATATAGGCCTACCATAATATATTCACTTTATTATTTATGTGCCTTGAACAATGCTCCCATGACTCCTACAGGTATGTTATGTTTATTATTATTTACCCAGTCAAAATTTATACAACAAATGAAAAAATATGGCAAAAATAAGTCAGATCTCAGTTCAGGTTACCACAGAAGGCATTCAGTGACAAGCAACTATTGAGGAAGTAACCAGTTCCTTGTGTGAATGCTGTAAAACCCTGATTTATAAATAACAGACAGACAGACACTTCTCTTTCTAGAGGTACTGTAATAATATGCAATTATCCATATGATGCATGCATTGACGTAAACACAGTAAGGGTCCACTACTATATTTACCTACATCAATTCAAGCATGACGCATGTAAACAAAGCAAGGGAATCAAACGTGAAAACCTATTACGGTCATCGTACCTGTGTAAGTAAGTTTCTATAGCGTCTCGCAGTGCATTGGAGTATTAGCTTCCTGCTTATTGACTAACAAAAACAAACTTGCATATAAATACGTTTCCACACAATGGAAAATTTTCTGTTGAATGTGTTTAATGTGTAACCGATTATGAAATATTGATGAACCTATAAAACATTGTTTACTTTCAAAACTGTACCATGCATCAGATCGCTCACACTACAAGTAGAAATCAAAACAATATGATTTGACCTACAGTTCACTGCGCATGATTCGTTGTGTGATTTGACCTACAGTTCACTGCGAAGAATTTTGGTGGTTCTGATATTCAATCAATGAAATTCAGCAATGAAGAATAATCCTTTATAATCATACACTAGAGTCAAGTATTCTCACATCAGAATTAAGTATTTTGTTCTTTAACAACTTTTGTATATATAATTTGTTTATTTGGTAAAATTTTATGGGTTTCACTGATTTAGGTGTCATGTTAATAGGTAGGCTAGATCTGACTAACTGGTAGCGTGCCAAGTTCTTTTGACGTAAGGTAGCCTAGGGATTTCTATTAGTGTACATTACTATTGTATGAACATTGAATTAAATATATTGATTCGACATATTATAATCTATAGTATTTATATAATCAGGCATTGTTGTTTGATCTAAGTATTTCCTTTTGAAAATGAAAATATTATGTGCATCATTGATTTCAGCAACCACCTTCCACGCAAGTTGTTTTTAGTAACATATCCACCAGTGGTTCAACAAATCAGACGGAAAAACCAATAAGGAATACAATTGTTACTGTCATCATACATGCCTGCGTAATTTCCTACATAATATCAGTTGTTTCATAAACGTCGGGCTAGAAAGCTTCATAAAGCATCAATAAAACTATGACAACATACCAACTAGGCTCAGCCAACCAGATTAAAGGAAATGCTCATACATATGCAAATGTGTTGATGTGCGTATATTAATGTTGTATTATAATATTCAATGATGCAAACACAGTTAGACTAGAGGACCCTTGCTTTGTGTACCAATATCAATTAGGCCTACATGCATGAAGCATGTACACAAAGTAATAAGTCTACAAAAAAAAAAAATAAAGCGAAAACGATGAACCAGCTTTTGTATTAATTTCCTATAGCTTCGCTGGTTTCTGTCTGTATGGATGACAATACATGAATCCATCAACCAATCACCGACTAAGTATGCAGATCAATACATGCAATCAACAATACACAACAAACGAACGCGGACGAATAAACTCAAAATATTTATAATATAGCGCCAATTCCAAATGAATGTTCAAAGGTGCTGAGCATTATTGTAGTTTTGAATATGTGGATGTTGGCTATTTCATTTCATTTTTCACTTATAACTTTATATTAGAAATGGCCACCTACACTAGGTACATACCCTAATAAATAGACCTAGGCCCTAGGCCTAGGGGGTCCACATGCCTGACCTAGGTAAGCCTTCCTCAGTGAGTTGCAGGCCTAGTTACATAGTACTAGGCCTAGATAGTAACAGTAGTATAATGCCTACTACAGTACTAGTAATAGTATAGTCCTCGAGTCTTACCTAGCTAGCAGGCCCGTATTCAGGGGGGTTTATGATTTTTAAAAGGGAACATTGTTTTATATGCTTAAAACCAAAAAATATAAAAAGGGTTTTTTGAGAAAAGAAATCCTAGGCCTATATTTTTTCAATTAAAAGATTTAAAATAATAATAATATTTTTAAGTTTAGGCTTATACTGTTCGACTAGAGAGCACAACATCTGAGATGTTCAATCATCAGGCAGAGGTACGGGATTCATCAGAGGCAGGGGTACGGTAACAGTATTCATCAGGCAGTCATCAGCCACCACCATCAGCATCACGTTGTAGGATGTCAATGCTGCTGCTAACTTCCTAGCATTGCCAACAAAATTAAGTGCTATTTTTCAGTTGATTGGGTCATATGAGTGCTTAAAATGGTCAATTAGGACAACCTACCAAAATTTATGCTCAATTCTTTCCATTCAAAGTGACAACTATTAAACAGCAATTGTTCAGAAAATGCAATATTTTTCTCTAAAGACGCCATCTTCTTTGTGTCAACGCGCGAAAACGAAAAGTTTAACCGTGCGCATGCGCAGATTCATTTTCAAAATGATTTTGATTGACGAACCACTTATATTACCAAAATTAGATTTATCAACATGTTTAAAAGTTCTTTTAATTACTCTCAAACTGTTCATAGCTCGTTGAGCTGCTTTAATGTATTGTTTGGTTTGCAATCTTTAGTAATGACTACTCCAAGATCAGATCTTTGATAGAATCAACAACACCAAGCTCCCATGTACTTGAAAAACTTGTTTTTTAGTGGCCAACATGCATTTATCAATATTAAACTTCATTAGCCATTCATTACTCCAATTTAGGATCTTATCCAAGTCTTCTTGGAGTTTATCTGCATCTTCTTGGTTATTTGGAACTCCTGTAAATCTTAGTATCATCAGCATACATTTTTATTAAGGATGAAGGATGTTTTATTAAGTCATTAAATGAAAAGTACGGTATAAATAAAGTGGATCCTAGCACTGACCCCGGAGGGACACCACTAGTTACTTCTGCCCTGGCTGATTTTGCATCATAGGCCTACTTTCATTTGTTGCTTTCTATTTGCAAGAAAATCAGTGATCCAAAGTAAAATCTGACCCCTTACACCACAACTTTCTAATTCGCTGAACCCTACGGAACACAATCGAATGCTTTCCGATAATCCAATAGGCCTATATCACATCAACATTATCATTTCAACTGATGCTGTTTGTCTTCCATGAATTCTAACAAGTTTGTCAAACATGACTTCCCTTTAACAAATCCACGCTGCTCCTCTGTATATACAGTATGTTTTTCCTTTGTATGTGTTAAAATATTCTCACGTATAATTATTTCCATATTTTTGCAAGGGATACTTGTTAAATAGGCCTGTAATTTCCTGGATCACTCTTTTTTCTTAGTTGATGTTTAATGTTCTAGTATTTAAAGAATCGTGAGAAAGACACAATTGTAAGTTTACATACTGTAAGCTTATGTCAGAGGCAGATATATGCCTACAATATACAACATTAGGTTATGTAGGACCCAGGCCTAATATTCTATTAAAAAAAAATTTTAAAAATTTAAAAAAATCTACATTTGGGACCAATACCTTTTGTAACATTTATATATTTATTTATATACATTTATTTAGCCAGGGCAGCCCAAACAGTTAAAACACTGATTTACATTGGGCCCTGCATTTAAAGCACATGGTCGTAACCGGTTATATTTTGTTAATTAGTGCCTCGTACAAAAATTTGTATTTAAATATGTTTAGAGAAGTCGCAGTTCTCAAATCAATATATAAGTCACCTTAAAACTCGTGGAATAACTTTCGCTTTTCGAAAAAGGAACCTTCCACTTCATAATAGTTGACTGTCTCGTTTCACGAGCTTGCAATAACGGTGTGAAAAGGTTTGTCATGTATAAAGGTGTCAATCGGTTAATACATTTATAAACAAGTATAGCTTTTTTATACGTAACCCTTTCAGCATACGAAAGCCGACTGAGTTGTGCAAATATATCTGCAGATGGGGCAAGAAAATCACATTTTAAAACTTTCCTAGCTGCTCTTTTTATACACTTGTTAAGAAAGGTATTGTAGGGTATGTAACGACCTCCCCATACAGTGCAGCAATAGACCAAAGATGGCCTAATTTAGCAAAGCAATATAGCAATATTCTCGAGTTCAATTTCCAATCAAGTTTTTAAAAGTTGACTGGCGTTATATTCATCAACTTTGTACATTACAGCACTACAAACACTCACTCCATGGCGCTTGTGCTTTTTCTTTTGCATCTTTATGTCAGAAGCAGATAGGCCTACAATATATAAAGCATTTGGGTTATGTAGGACCCAGGCCTAATATTCTAGGGGAAAAAAATCTACATTTGGGACCAATACCTTTTGTAACATTTATTTAGCAAAGCAATATAGCAATATTCTCGAGTTCAATTTGCAATCAAGTTTTTGATAGTTGACTGGCGTTATATTCATCAACTTTGTACATTACAGCACAAACACTCACACCATTTCGCTTGTGCTTTTTCTTTTTGCATCATTTTGTTTGTCCACTCTGATTGGCTAGATAAAGAATATGCACGTCTGCAAAAGCTTAGGAATCGTTCTTTCCGCCAAAATTGCGGACGTATGCACAAGACGTGTGCTGAGCACAACAAATTTTAGGCTCATGTGGACTACGTTTGGCAGGTAATTATGAGGCCAAATTCGGTCCGCCGGACCGAATTTCGCCCCGGACCAAATTTTTCCTGACTGGCCTACTATATAATAAAAGTAGGAGCCGTATATGTATAT